TCTCTGTCGTTGGGACGGCCGTATTCGCCAGGTCTGCCTCGGGGTCTGGCGGTACCACTGTGAGATCGGCAGGGCAGCAGGTGTCCGGCGCAGCTCTGGTGAGGAGATTCGCTTCCGAGAGAAGAGCTCTGCAACAGATTCCTCGCACTCGCTGGACCAATTTCCTTGTTGAAAATCATTTGGAGTCTCCAGGCAACGGCAACGGCATCGGAGATACCAGTATTGAGCCCCTGTCCTCCATTTACGGAGTGGACATGTGCAGCGTCGCCACCTAGAAGCACTCTGCCACCTTCGGAACTAAACGAAGACGCAATGCGTTCCTTGACTAAAGTTTTGTTAATATTTTCGTTCATCTGGTACGCAAATCACAAAACTTGTGCCCCTTACCATCAAAGGTACTGTACCACTCCGTGGCCTTGAACTCAATTCTGTGAGGAGCGACATGCTCTTTGATAGACTGCTGAGCGCGCTCCTGAGTAACTTCACCATCGAGGAGGACATAAAAGCGCGAGAGACCGCGCTCACGAGGAATCCACGAAACACGAGATTGCCCACGCAGCTGAAATGTGATGATTTCTGGGCAAATTGGGAAATCCGTCTCGATGAAAGTGTCGAGGACCGCCCACACCATCTCCGGTTTCGTTCCTGTAAATGTAATACCCAGAGCCGGTCGTACTGTTGACCTCGCTCCATCCGCACCAAATGCATATTTGCTTCTTACAGTCGATCCATCATGAGTCGTTACGGTAACACCTTTGCAATCTTCAGCGATGGATGCAACCTGTTTGTTGTAAGAGATCAAGCCGCCGAGTTCTCTACTCATGATGGCCTCAATCACGGGTTGACCGATCATGAGAAAGTTCTTGTGCAGGGCGTGTTCTATCCCTGTCCACCAATGGCTTTGTTGCGAGGTGAATTCGCCATTGCAGTACGTTGAGCTGGCTTCAGATGTGTTAGTCGTGACGGCTGGATGGTCTCCCCAAGTAAGACTTACTGTTGCACTTTAGCCCTTGAGGCAGCATTTCATCAAGTAGGTTGGTTACTTCAAAGTACTGCTGAGTACGTGCATTCAGTGCATCTGCTCTCCCAAGCTCCAAGCTGCGTGCCTTGGCATCTTGTAAATATATCAGCTACAACCACCGCAATATTATACTTGATTTCGTACCGAGAACGCGCACTGAGATTCCTTGTCGATGGAGTAGTAATCCTGCAAACAGCCCGGTTGGCCCGCCTGGCAATTGTTAGTCTATGGCTAGAGTCACTCAAGTCCATTATTCACCTCCTATAATTACCACATCAGCCTCCTCATGTTCCCCCTTCCCATTATTTTCGGTATGCATGGTAGCTGAAGATGTGTATTATTGACTTGTCCAAGTCTGTGTTCGGGAGAGGTAACGCCGGCCACCAAGTAGCGAAGTTTCGGTGAATTTCGCTAGGTAGCCCACGAGCTACTCGTTCTCACCCAGCTCGGTCGAAGGCCTGGAACGAAGGGGTCTCATGTCAGCTATACTCGTGCGCCCTTGGACGCGCTCTACAGGGCGCTTTGCCGAATGCGGCAGGTGGCCGTGGATTGTTACATATTTGCATATTTAACGATGCGTACGGAGGCTCCGTATGTCAAGCTTGGGTTAGCGTTGAGGTCTTTTGCACTGAAACATGGCGGACTTCGCCGAAAATGCAACGCTGAAGGTGAAGGAGTCGTGTTGTAGGGCCGAGAACCTGCATCGTCTGGCACAGGCGTACATCCAGCAAGATTAGTCAAGTGGGCTATTTTGGGTTGAAAGCACCGACGCACTGAACGAGCGCTTCCTCATCGTGTGTCGCGAATTTGTAGCTCTTCTCTTCCGTGATGATTTGTAGACAATTTGTCTTGCTCCTGCTCATCGGATCTATGTCCACAACGTCGACTATTGCAGATAGACGGAGGATCCGCTGCGCGGTGTATTCTTGCTGGTTCTTTTAGAGGATGAGGTTGCGAGGGCGCAGCACTCCCCATAGATGCTTCCACTGTCGGACGCCTCCCTTGGTTCGCAGATGGTAGAGCCAGCCTTGCCAAATGACGCGATCGGGATCCAATTCAGCGGCCGCCGTGCTTTGATGACTTGAAGACCGGTTCAGAGGGCTGGCGCGAGGATATGCACCGGCTCCAATGTTGTCACTCAATGGCGGCGCCCGCGGTGCGCTGGCGGATAAGCTCTCGAAAGATGCGGCCGGTAGACGCACAGTAGCCTCGTTGTCAGAAAAGTCGGAGTGGGACGCGAGTTCGTTGCCAGACAGCCCCGACAGCCCGGATGACTCCATGTGTGATGACTTCCTCCGGCGAGGCATAGGAATCGGTATGGAGGGGCTGATCGGCTCGGGCGAGCTTGACAACAAGAACTCATCATGCTCGCCTAGCTGCCCTAGAACTGCCGAGCCGCTAGGTGTATGTCGACGAGCTGCAGGGCTGGCTAAGGACATTTCTTCCTCTTCTTCCTCGATGCGCGCCTCCTTGCGGATCAGTTATACCCATTCCTCAGCTTCTTTCTGCGTGGGAGCCTCGAAATGGAAGTTCTTGGAGGGCGAAAAGAGACCAAATATATGTTCGCGCTTGTGTTTGGGATCTTTGAGGAACGCGACAGCAGTCAGGTCGTTCAAGTAGATCTGATGTCGCAGCCTGTCCTCCTTCTCATCCTTGTATATCGACAGTCGGTTGGGGCGCATGACAAGGTAGATCGACTTCCAAGACTACAGAGTGCGTTAGCGACAACCAATTACACTAGGAGAGGGCTATATAATAATTACCTTGGTCTTGCGCGTACGTCTGCGGAGCGATCCGCTCTTGAGGACACGGTCGACCGCAAAAGACCCATTCTGGTTGACCGGCGACGAGCTTTCGGTCTCTGGGCGGTTCATATTGCGTGGCTGCTGTTCTTGATGGCCAGATCCAGGACCAAGCTTTGCGCCGATGCTGCGAGGCTCTTCGGGTCGCTGGAACTGGACCTGAACGAGGCTTTGTGCCATGTCAAGGAGTGAACGACAGGTGTAATCAGGTCGGGCTGGTGGTGATGTCGGTGGTGTAGAGTGTGGCGCTGACGATTTCAGTATGCGCTCGCGTGTCGTGTGTCGTGTGCTTCGAGTGTCACATTGAATGTGCCCAGACTAGCTGCAACGCCTTCTGTCATTCGGGCGGCCAGAATTGTTGACGCCTGGTTGCAATAGACGTAGGCAGGAGGGGGCGCTGTCGATGGAGCATGCGAGGCGGTACGTTCGCGTGGTGGGAGCAGTGGTCGACGAGGCAGTGACAAAACAAGCTGCGGGTTGGTGTGTCAAGTTGTGGATGCAAAAGGCACGGTTCGAGACAACGGGAGAGGGTGGGAGACGTCCCGGGTTGATGATGGCGCAAGGTGAATGAATGATCAGCAGACGCCGGGCGTGCTGGTGGTGGGTGTTCGGGACGCTGGCGCAGCGTCTATTACACGACCTTGCTGGTCTAGAAAATGAATGATGCGTTCGCCAACCAGATGACTGTACTGTGATCGGAGCTGGTCTGCGAGCGGATTGCTGCATTACCAGTCCATCGACTGCGTTTCAGGAGTTGGCCGAGACGACCGAGTCGCGTTTGCGATCTGGAGTGCCGAATGCAATCATTGAGCTTGTCGGAATGGAGCTTTCACTCTTGGTCTCGGGAGGTGGCAGGCGCTATTGACGTCACCAGCCAATGAAATGCCTGCATCACCCCGGTGGGCTCCCTCTGGCCGTGGTTAGGGACTGCCCTGAAAGTGTGATCCGCGTGTAATTTATTGATTAAGCAATCAATCAAACAATCAACCATTATCATCAGACACTGCAGGGATACAATGGGCCGAATTCTCCCTTGGTAAGACTGGTAAGACCTCAAAGTGTGGTCCTCTTTGATTTCGGAGAAGAAAGATCAGGAAGTTAGGCCCTCAAGCAGCGACTCTCCACGTCGTTGCAGTGCTCTCTACTACATCCCAAATCATGCTGCTAAAAAGAGCATGTCTACATAGTACTACTGTAGTACATGTAGGTAGCTTTAAACCCTACACTACTGCCACAGTTCACACGCTAACATTTGGAATCCCTCGGGACTGCAGGTACACGCGAGTAGTGCGGAGCTGTTCAGTTAGTCCTTCGCGAGCATTAGACAAGAGTGACAGGTTCCCGCCCACGACGATACTAAAACCGACATGCAAAGCGGTGACTCTAGAGCACGGATCGAGGTTGATAGCTCTGGGTACTTTACAGCGCTCACGATGCGCACATCAGCTAACATAACCTTGCCCACGCCATTTCTGAACGTAACCATGGCAAGCTCCTCATCACCACGCAATTGGCACGGATCCCGCGCACTAATAACAATAATATCCTAATGTTTGTTCGGTTCTATGCATTGCAAGCGGCCAAGAGCTTGGCAGCTGACAGCGACGAGGAATGCGGCTCTCTTGGCACGGAATACCACGGGGCAAGCCGCGGACGTTAGGTTAGTAGTCTGCGGGCACTCAAGCAAATGCATTCATAAGTATGATAGTCACATCGCTCGGTCATGGTTCAAGGGCTATCGTGCACATGCTGCATCATAAGATGAGTTCGATTGAAGTCCAACGCATGTGGCTGTGACCTGGCTTCCGACTGTAACATGCAGTACCATTGGAATACTGGGCCCTGGGTTGCGCGATCGGCAAATGAAAAGAGGCATCAGCCCTGTCAGCCAGGCCCGCATATCGTCCAAGGCTGATTTTAATTATCTGGGGCCCGTCTGCCTGCTGTTGGGCGATAAATTACGCGCCTAGAGGTTGTCCATGCTTAAATTCCCACATGCCGCCATCCTTTTCCAGTCCTCGGACTGTCCCTATTCATACCTTATCTTACAAGCCTTTAAGAGAGTAATTTTGGCCCTTGGTCGTGAGACGTGCTTTCTGACACCGTCGTATCTTCAACCCTCCGAGTACTAAACATAGGCCAAACTATTCGTCGCCCGTGCGTGATCTTTCCTAACGCCCAGTCATCGGCGCCCCGAGCACCATGAGCACCGGCTACTCTGGTCCGACCCAAGGCGGTGGTTACGACTATGCCGAAATACACCATAACGCCCCGGAAGTCGTCATGGCCGATGACAGGCACGCGAATGCGCCAGAAGTGGTCAGTGGCGAACTTTTCGCGAAGAATGACAATTTAACCACTTGGCACAATCAGTCAGGCAATCCTACACAACAACTCTCTCCCGCCAAGAGGCCCTGGCAAAAACGACGCCGCGTTTGGGCTGCGATAGCAGCGGTGATACTATGTATTATTGTCGCGGCAGTAGTCGGGGGTGTTGTAGGATCCCAGAACAGCGAGAACGCCGACTCAAACTCAACGGCACCGACACCAACAGCAACAGGAGCGGATACGATTTCAGATAGCACCTCAGCCTCGTCGTCAACGAGCGCCTCAGTCTCGTCGTCAACGAGCATGGCAGACACGTCTTCAACATCAACGACCGACACCTCAACGTCCACGGCTCCCTCGGCAGAGCCAACATCAGATATCCGCGCCATAGTCATACCCTGGAGTAGTGACAGCTGCTCTGGGACGAAGCCAGCTGGGGTAGTGACCATCGAAGACAGCGATTGCTATGAGCTTCCAGGTGATTCTATCATTATTAACCATTTTGCTGAGGACTGTGTTAGTAAGTGGCCTTATCGTTACGTCTCCGTGCTTCTTCCTCTGCAGCGCAACGAATCGAGCTAATGAAACCGCTTCATAGTACAAAAGTTTAAGAAGGATGGCTGCCAGGGGGAGGGGTTTCAACACGTTACGGAGAATGCATGTTTTCCCAACGACGATTATGTCTCGTTCAGAATTGCATGCGATTAAAGGGGAGCAACGCCGGCCGGAGCAAGCCTGAGATCGGATATGTGGGGTTTGCTCAAGATGCCGGAGGGGGGCGCAAATAACTTGTTGTTTGATATTTCTTATATCCCTTCCTCGCACGTAGAAACCTTGAAGATTTTGGCCCATTCGCCAAGATTATCCTCTATTTCGAGTCCATCATATGGCAAAGTTGGGGGGGTAATATGGGAGCGAGGCACCGCGTCAAGCACCTGCAAGTGATCGATCTGCCGGCACCAGGTAGGAACCCCTCCGCAAATTTGGCCTGACGAAAAAGTAATCGTGACTGCCCGAATTGTCTGAGCCATCAAACTCCGAGTCGCAGAGACTGTTGGAGGGACTATTGAAGCTCCTGGCAGTTACCGCACCAGGATCACTCTGCTCACGAGTATGTAGCAGGATCGCTCGTAACATCGCAGGTGTTAGTGTCTCTGTCGGTGGACCCCGCGGCTTGGCCTATGAGCCGTCGACCTCTTTGGTTTCCGCGGCGGATATCTTCCATGTCTGTGCCAGGAAGATAGTGTCCCACCCGCTTTGAGAATGTGCGCGGCGTTGATCTTTCTCTCAGCCGGTCGATGCATGATTAATAATACATCGCCACGTCTTAGGCCCGCATAGCCATACCATGTGTTCTTCTCCATGTAAGGGTATGAAATACTTTCTTGAAGGTCAGAAATCCGCGTAGACTTTCGGGTGCGTAGCTATGTGGGGTTATACATTAGTCTGTAATCTAAAAAATCCACCACTCTAGTGATGTTTGAGTTTAGGTACCCTACAGCCTGGCCAGCGGCAAGCATGCCCTTTCAGGATTCGTGGGCCAGAGCCAGATGTATCCGGTCTACGGCCATGAGCCATCTTAAACCCAGCCAAAGAATTCCCGGAATAGTAACACCACAGAAGTCAAAGCATCCAGCTTAACCTTGAACTTGGGCAAGAGCAGCCTCAAATCATCCCCGCCATCTTTTCTTGAGATATTCAGTGTTCTCTACCAGCCATGGAGGGGTCGAAATCTCAGCCCTGCAAAAAATGCAAGAATGAAGATGGGCCTTTCAACTTTCGCAATACGCCAACATGTCGGTACGTACTGCAACCTCGTGGTCTACGTAATCATCTTACTGACAACTAATAAAGCGATTGCTACATACTATACATAGAACAGAAGACTGCCAAAGGTCTAAGAGCACTTCACACAGACATCCGCACGTTAACTCTTCCAGAACCCCGGCGCTATGTCGCTGGACTCTCCTTTAGCGCATTATCTAGCGCGATAGTATGCGCACTCGACAAGCATACGCATCGGGAGATAAGCAAGAAGTCAACGTCATTATTCGAAGTGCTGGCGGTCCACGTCGATACCGACCTGTCCGACCAGGACGGTTCTACACCAGCGATAGACATGCTCGACCGCTATAGAGAGAAATTTCCAAACGTCAAATTCCAGTGTGTCCACCTGGGCGAGGTCCTCAATTTGAAGACGGTGGATTGGTCGACCTTGCTAGGGTTGAGCGCGCAAGGGACGCCGTCAGCACGCCTATAGAAAATATTCGACGCTCTGCCCTCCATGACCGCCAAAGCCGATATACTCCGCCTGCTGACCCGTCACCTACTTATCCATGTCGCCATGGCGCAAGAGTACGGGGCTTTGCTGCTGGGACACACCACCACCGCGCTCGCGAGTCTTACTATAGCAGAGGTCGCCAACGGCAGAGGGTTCAGCGTGCCGTGGCAAGTCCAAGATAGACGCTCTCAAGTATGCACCTACGAGAATGGAAAGGCCCTGTCGAAAACCGAGTTCCCCCTCTACCACCCCATAAGAGAGACCTTCAGAAACGAAGTCAAAATCTACAACTCGCTAATACCGGCGCTTGCAGAGATAGTGCCTAACACCGACACGTCACCGGGCGTGGTGTCGCACAAGGACACGAGCATAGACGAGGTCATGACACGGTACTTTGATGGCGTCGAGGAATCGCTCTCGGGCATCGTGGCGAACGTGGTGCGGACAACTGGCAAGTTAGCCAAATTACGGGGAGACGCGCAGTGCGGCCTCTGCGGTGTGACGATGGACGAGCAAGGAGATTCTCGATAAGCCGGCGAGCTAGGAGAGGAGGAAAGCAATCAGCAAACAACGCGGTTCTGCTATGGCTGTAAGAGATCCATCAACGGATAAGTTGGACATTAACCCCTCTATATTTATCCCAGTCTTTTTCGCAGACCTCGAACTCCCAGTGTATGCATGTGTCCTCCCGTGTCAGGCATATACCGCTCATGCTGGGCTCCGCACCACGCATAAGGCGGCGAGAAATGCAAAAAGGCCCAACAGACACCTCGCCATAAATGAACAGTATATACAAAAAGACGGCCCAGTCCAAGTGGACGCGACCGGTCTGCGATCAAGCTTTTGCGTTGGCCTTGGCTTCAGCCTTGGCCTTGTTGGCCTCAACAACATCAGGAATGATGAGAGTCTCGACCTTGCGCATCAGCTTGTTCGTCTGCTCCGCCAGCGAAAGCGTGAGAATAGTGTGTGGCAAGATTCGGGCCAGGTGGGGGAGGAAGCCCTTGTAGATAGCCAAGACACCTTCGGTACGAATGGTCTTAAGGGCGTAGTCCAGGACGCCCTTGTAGAGGTTGCCGTTCTGGTTGTACAGGCGTGACATGATTGTGTCTGTGCGAGTCAGCTCGAGTCTTATCTTCAACCGCGTCAGTAAGCTCACCAGGAGGGTGCATGACGCAGCACACCACGAAGCCACTAATTGCACTGCTCGTCAAATGCAGTGGCGCGCCTTCTTCCATACCAGCGTGCTTCATCAGCCGCCTCTTTGCAAAGAAGTAGGTGGGAAGCTACACCGAACTACCGAAACCAGTCCAGATCATGGCCGCGCCAATACCACGGTACAGGCCCCCGAGTCCCTCGCTACGGAATATTTACGACAGACCGTCGATTGCGTTACGATAGTTATGCTGCGTCCCCATAGGTAACGTTTTGGAGAAGCTCTGCAACCGTGTCTTAACCAGGAAAAAGGGACTGCCCGCCGCGGCACCAATCATACCTAACGATGCGCCGCAGAACATATTAATCGCCAGACTCTGCTTCTTGTCGTCCTTGAAGAAGAAGCCCGCTAGCGAGGCGCGCATCGGGTCGTAGAACCCTAAGCGACAGCCATTGAGGACCATTTGGTAGACATAGGCGCACCCAAGACCACGGTATATGGCACGGACACCTTCACTCCGCACGATGACGCCGGCGCCATGTAGCGGACCGCGATAGTGGAGAGGCTGGGCCCCTTTTTGCTATAGTTCACCCTGCAATTACATGCTGCGCGCAAGTTAGCCTAAGTCGTGGACGCCTGATTATCCTGATGGTACACACCGAATCTTGACCGTCTCGAACGGGTGCGTCGCCGTAACAGCACCGCATGCCGCGATACCGCCGCCGATGAAGGCGCTGGTTGTTATCAGTGACGTGCCGCGTTTTGCGTCGGAGCTTGAGAATTTGGGTGGAAAGTACCCTATTGTTATCGACATGGTTCTCGCGTGCAGAGCGCGCACTGTATCGGTGAATCCCCGCGGTCGTGAGCCAGTCGTCGACTATTCGCGCCTGTCGGTAGGCTCGACCTATTAGAGCCCGGTCGGTGAGGGTAGAGAGAGTCGCTCAAGAGGAGGATGGCCGGTTCATCCGCAGCACTAATCCAGATCGCACGTCAGAAACCATGCCAGTTCGCTCGATCATAGGACTCACATGGTAGTGCAACGTGTAAATATGGTTCGGAGGAAATATTTGCTAGGCAACCTAATAAGGGTTGTAAGAAGAAGTTCTGGTTGGGCTCAGAGGCAGAGCTAGGCCGGAAAACGGAAGCCCTTTAGTAACCGCGTCAAAAGTTTGGACAGTAAGCCATAAGGCTAGAGCCGAGATCGGCCTAGGGGATGAGGGCTCCAGTTCCACGACTCGAGCCGAACTCTGTCGAGTAATGTTGCAATGCTCATTTGTTGGCGTACGTAGCTGACTTGGCTCTGTAACCAATTATTAAACCTTTGTCGCGGCTTTGCCCACGCTTGACTTCACGGCCTACACGGAATTGTTGGATCCCAGAAATACCTACGAAGCCGCTCATCTACGGAGCTGGATGATGCGCTAGATTTCCGTGCGTTTTGCGCCGAGCTGCAATTCTGGCTTCTAGAGGCCAGCCGGAGATTCCTTTACCAGGTGAGGTTCCAACGACGAGCAGCCAAGGGTCAATTGACCCGCAGCAATCGACGGGGTGACTGGAGTTCATCAACGTGTACATATAGCACTCACCGTCCCTACGCGTCCGAGGATAGCCGTCATGAGCTACCCTAGACTTGAGCCGTCGCCTTGAGCACGACTAACGCTACTCGCGCTTTCTAGTTGACAATTTCGGAAATACTTTTGTTTGGTCTGCAAAATGTCATGTACTACTGATACACCGAGCCGAGAGGCTGTGTTAAAGCTGGCGACCCTGTAAGGCTTTGCTCGACACCTTGGTTAACGTGCAGTCCTCTCCGGAGTAGGCATTGTATCGCGGGGGTCCAGCATCTAATTCTGCGCCCCGAAAGGGCTGCGTAGTAGCACAAAACTTTTCTTCAATCGATTGTACGAAGATCCCTCTAGTTCGAGATGTCACTTGTCTCGTAACTCGGTTCGCCCACAGTGCCAGCTGCCAGTGTCGCTGGATCTTGTGCAAGGTCCGGGGAGCTCCCGAGCCGACCCCACATTGACCGGATTTCACTTGGAGATGATGAATCCGCAGAAGTCAACCTTGACTTCCACAACAAAGGTGCTTGGGCCGAATTGTTGCCAGCGACATCTGCAAGCACTCGGGCCGACAGATTGATCATCTTGCGAACACATTTTCCGCTCTCAGTCACCGCTCGCGACCGCGACAGGACCGCGACGAGACCGCGACAATGGCAAGCACGCCAATGGACCTGGATCGACCAGAGCGCCCGGCTTCAGCAACCTTGAACATCCAGAGATCGATACCAGGTCCCAGTGGCGCCAGTACGAACCTCAGCGAAGTAATTGCCAACTACAGGCCAACAAAGGTAGCACCGAACTCCGGCCCAATGTTTGCCCTCGGCGCGCTCACGCGATACAGTTATTCAAGCGCGAAGACCTCAAGGACGGCAGGGCCATACCTCAAGTCCAGTCGATCGACTTCAACGATAATGGCGACCTCCTTATAACGTCGAACGCCGACGAGACAATCCAGCTGTACCACGTCAAAGAAGGGCGCCACGAGAAGACCTTGCTTAGTAAAAAGTACGGCGTCAAGCTTGCTAAATTCACACATACTAGCTCAAGTATAATATATATAAGTACGAAGCAGAATAACGCGATTCGATATCTTGCGACACACGACAACTCCTTCATTCGGTATTTTAAGGGACATAAGGGCCCTGTAACATATCTGGCGGTGCATCCCGGCGAGGACACATTCGTTTCGTACGCGCAGGACAACACGGTGCGGATATGGCACACACAAACTAAGAATTGGTAAGGGCAGTTGAACCTCAAGGGAGCAACATTGGCCGCGTGGGATCCCTCGGGCAAAGTATTCGCCGTGGCATGTCCGTCGGCTAGGACGGTACTACTCTACGACCACGCCAACTTTGATAAGTCGCCATTTAGGACGATTAATATGATTGAGCAATATCGAAACATTGACACGGCTAACCTGAACAAAGGCTAGACCAAGCTGGAGTTCTCGAATGATGGCAAATCCTTGCTCGTCGGCACGAGAGGCAATGGACACTTTATGCTCGATGCATTCGACGGGACCCTCAAGGCATACCTACACAAACCCAATGGAGGCACGCAACGACTCGTGCCAGGCGAAGTCGGGTCCTCGAATGGATCCGGTGGTCAAGGATCGCCACTGGACAGCAGCGGCGATTGTTGCTTCACCCCGGATGGACGCTTTATGCTCAGCGGGAGTGAGAAGGATATCTTGGTGTAGGATACCCGCGCGACACCAAATGAGCACAAGGTACTTGCGCCGACGTATACGCTCCCCGATAAGAGAGAGGCAGCTGTACTGGCGTTCAACCCGCGATACAACTTCTTCACGACCGCAGACCAGGAATTGCTGTTCTGGGTGCCGGATCCCAACAGCTGATGGCTAGCGCATGCGAGATGGAACGAGTAGACCTGGAGTTACAAGATGGCTAAAACAAATTGGTAGAAGATATAGATACCCAGGAATTGAATATCGGACCAGCCCGCGCTGGCAACGACGTAAGATGCGCATGGACATTGACTGCGAAGGCGAACCATTCACAAGCAGCGAATAGTAGAGCCTATCTTTATAGTGATAAATCTGTCCTTGCGATTCAGATATTCGGGTTGTAACTGTAATGTTCTCGCCTTGAAGTAGCCGCGATGTCTGGGGTCGACCTTTCTCAAGATGAAGGAACACCGCTGCCCCTCAAGGCACCTCCGAATTTCAAGCCCCACCACGAATTGTCCGTCCGCCCCAGATTCAACCACCAGGCCGACATCCAACATCATCACACTAGCTGGGCTATATCTCAGTTCTGGGTCATATCATAGTCCTGGGTTGATTGATTGATCATAGACTGTCCCAGCCGCCCTATCGGCAGTTGTGCAGCGTTCAACTACAAATACAGGTGGCTCGTTTCTTGCTTCCCGGAAGCTGGTCTTCCGGTCGGTCAAAACAGGTCATTCCTGCAGTGAGGTTGCTCGCCCGTCCGCTTGAGCACTAGCCCTCCTCTACTGTTGTATCTCTTCTTATGCTCCTGTCAGGCCTTTCCTGGCCCTCCTATCTTTCTGTATGACCTACTTCACTCGTCTACGCTGTGTATTTGAGTACAGTGGATGGGACCGCCCGGAATTGACCGAGCAGGCCCGTCCTCAACATCATTTTTGCTGCCATGGGTTTGGTCCAACACCAGCGCGTCGATGAATAGCCGACCAGAGAGGGTGGTGCAGATTGAAGTCTCCAAGCATGATGATCTCATATTGTTCCTCTAGCCTTCCGAGGGATTCGGACAGTACCGATAACGTGTCTGTTCCGACTTCGATATGGATGTCTTTGCCGGAGTGATGGCCACAGAGCTTCAGGGTCATATCATAGTCCTGGGCCATATCTCAGCCCTGGGCCATATCATAGGCCACGTCATACCTGGGCATAGGCCACGTCATACCTGGGCCAACGTCTCAAGGCTGATCCGAGGGTAAGGACCAGAACTTGCCTGTGCCACAATTTCTTGGCCTTCTGTGGCCAGTTGGCAGTAACTGGACTTCAGCTTCCTTGTAAGTATACCACCAACATTTAGGTTTGTATCAGCAGACCTCCAGAACTAGATTTTTTGGTTTCCTAACTTATACCGAACTAGATGGTGATGGCCACTAGAAGCAGACAGCATTTGATTGAAAAGGCCACGAAGCGCTGAACTTTATGGAGATATACTCTTCTTCATCAAACATGGCGCCTTTCGTTGATCTCCTCACTCCCTGGTTAGCGATTTGGACTGCCACAAACCTAGGCAGTTTTGACGTCCCCGTCGTCTGCTCGGGGAGTTGCAACATCAATAAAACAATCAACTACGCCCAGTACACAACAGAACCGAGCTTGCGATTCCTCGCAACCACCAAACACATACTCGCTCAATGCGAAGACCCCCAAAGTACATATAGGCAGGGGTTGCAAGTGTGCAATAAGTGCATGGACCAGAACGAGCAACATCAACAGTACCCTGATATTTGTGCCTCACTGGGGTTCAGCTCTGATGTGAAAAGATAATTGAGGGCTGAAAATCAGGGATTGGAACCTCGTTATGTTTGCCAATCCTCGCCCAATGTATGTAGGGTAGCGTATGAAACAAGTCGCTCAGGCCGTTAACGTGCATTGCGTTCTTCCGGACAGAACTAGCACGGTCCCCTGAGCGTATTGCGAGGAATTGGAAAAGAAATGAGAGAAGTGATACAAGCACATGCACCATAGAAGTCACAAAAAGTTCGAACCAAAGCGGATCATCGTTAACGAGCCCTTTTGGGAACACGTGGTTACGGAAACCCGCCTAACATTCGTGCAAAACTCGAATGCAGCCTAGTCATGCTTTAGCTTAGATTCTTAACCTTAAAAAATTTGTTGCTGACCTTGGGCGGCCTCGGCGAGAGGATATTTGATTGAGATCGTAGTGTGGGATGCTCTTTAGGATAGTGAGTAGTGAGCTGGAGTAACAGAATGGAGTCGAGAGCGAGCGTCTATACGCGGTGGGAGATGGTCGTGGCTTTATACTTAACGAAGCCCCTCCTCTATCTCATTCGTCTTAGCTTTCCGTTCGACATTATGGCTCAGACCTTATCATAGATTCCACAGCCGTAGCTTTAACCTAAGTCAGCCACCTAGGATGGTGCTGATATCAGCGAGAATCCCCGATTCGTGGTTCCGTACTCAGTCTGCCTTGCCAACACTAATTTGGCTAAAAGCAGCTGAATTATATTATTTGTCTCTCTGAATAAAGTCGCTATGTTCGGGAGG